CGTGTTCACGAGAATCTCTTTTGTGTGACCCAGAAGCCTCTATTGTTTCTCTACAAGATTAAAGAAGATTAATCCACCACTCAAACTTCGTACAAAAGCAGCCGCTTCGGTTGCGGGAGCGACTATAGTAGGTTACAAGTCAAGAAGGTAGCGGCAAATGCCACTCAAAGAGATTCATATATCCCTCCGCCACCTCCGCATTCAATAGCGTTCCGTCGTTTCCGTGACGTCGCGGCCAACGCGCGAGGAGGGTCTTGCCTTTCTGTACATATTTGCTCTATCTTTCGACTTTGACTTTGCATTGTGGAAGCCACGAGAGGGAGAGAGCTGTATTGTGAAAGCCACGAGAGGGAGAGAGCTTTCACCCCACGATGCAAACAAATACCGCCTTTCGGGGATTAGGTTCCCCCTCCGATGAATACAGAGGCTGCTTTCAGGGGCTCGGTTCCCCCTCCGATGAATACAAAGGTCGCTTTTTTAAAAAGTGAGATCGAAACAAGTTGACATTAGTCTGTAGCCAATATTCATTCATTGAAGCGGAACAAAGAGCTTTTACAGTGAACTCTTCTTTCGACTGCGGAGGGATTTAAAGCCGGCGCATAACGCTTGTGGGAGGAGCTTCTCCTACCTTCTTGACTTGTAACCGACTATAGGCTATCTTCTCGACGTGAGCCTCGCCCGTGGCCTCGCCGTAGCTTTGCTCAGCCCGAGACGAACTACGTGACGATTGCGTTGGATGTCACGTGGTCTCCGCTGGCTGTTCTCCAAGCGCATGCCAGAGTGGGCCGTTTATAACGAAAAATGCAGCCACCAGGCTCAAAATACAAACGTGCGATTGTCACTTACGGATATTGGCATCATATTCAACCTATTTTCGAACCCAACGGGTATATTTCAAATTTCTTTGAAGTATCCTCTTAAAGGGGTACTCCACAGTTTTTTTCATTCTCTCCGATGTGCTTGAATTTTTGATAAACTCACCAAGAAACATCGGTAATACAGTATACCAAATATTAGGTCAAAATTTGTTTTCTTCGCAAAGTTATTGAAGTTACAGTAGTGGTCTTCACCGTGCTTTTCAATCTGAAAGTTTCTACTTGCAGCAACGAAAAAGTGACGTAGGTGGAAGGCAGGGGTTCACTCTTTGGACTGTAGAATTTATTTCCAACTGATTCGTTGCAATTTTATGATGTCAAATGAATGCTCTAAAAGCTCGCTCCAGTACCCGCGCTCCAGCAGGAAACAAATGATTGGCATATTTTATTTTCAGACTGCTCGCTCGACTGGCAAGCCTGCTCTCCACTGACGTCACGGTTCTAAAAAGGGGGGTATATTTGAAAGTTGGTTTTTGCCTCATTTCCATTTGCCGATTTCACAATAACTATTATGAATTCCGCAATACTACATACCATACCGAAAAGGGAAAAGGCCGGGGAGTCAGGAAATATAGCTTGTTGAGGTAGCTCAAAAAAACCTGTGGAGTACCCCTTTAAAGGGTCCTGTTTCAGTGTATCTGCAGATTTCTCTGAAGCGATAGCAACAAAAGACGCAATTTGTCGGGTTTTACCAAGGGACATAGGAATTTCGATACGCGGGTTAACTTGATGACTGCCACTCTTTATCTTAATGACATAAAATTTATTTATTACGACCACATCAACCAGATAGTGCAGTTCAAATTGCCATGATATGATTCGCCCACCACCATCACCGTTCTTGTACTTAATTATCGTAGCATTAAAACTGGGATTGACGATTTATCGCCTCATAGATACGGTTAAACCACGGGTTGTCATCGGCACAAAATCATGGCTAGCTGAACAGGTAGCACATTGTAAGGTGTTTCCTAGTTATTTTACTCGCTACATGAAATATAGTTATAGTTACGGCGGAGGTGTGTTTACCCTCGTTAACCAGCGCATTTCTTCGAGAAAGTTTGAAGTGGATGAGGGTTCATGCTAAGTTGTATGGTGCCAATTGAGACTTCGCAATAGTGAGCCCTTTAGGTGTGTTCTATCTACTGACCGTCCGTAAGTTTTGTGGATGTATTATTACAACTCAAAGTGACGGCCGAAACAATTAAATCTGATAGTATGATTATAGGAGGTGATTTCAATTTGCCCTGGCTAGAGTGACACAGCAAAGATTATTTTCTGCGGCAACATGTGGACTAATTGCAGTAATGACAATTTTTGTGACTCTGTTTGCGCTTACTGAAACTGTGCTAGAACCCACAAGAGGGCGGCATGCAATTTGCTTTTTTTGACAATTGACAATTTGCTTAGAAATGTGCCGGGCCTGGTAAAGTCTACTTCAGTAATGCCGAGAACTAGTGGTGAGAGCGCTGTCCTTTGTGAAATGAATTTGGAGGGTGTATAAATCAGTAATAGTGAAAGTCGACGCATATTTGATATCAGAAAGGTTAACATTTTTTAAATCTATGTTGCACTAGAGGCATATTGTTTTTTTCTTTTTGAAACACTTGCAGAATCCTGTCCCTTAACTTAACTCTGGGTACTTTCTAAGAGAAAGGTTTTGGAATTGCGAGATCGTTTTGTCCCTTTGTGGATTTTGACCAACAAAGACGTGATAAAAGTAAGCCATGGTTTGGAAAATAACTACGGAAGTTGATATAGCGAAAAGAGAGAATATATCGCGCTTTTAAAAACAATGCATCAGCAAAAAATATGAAAAACTGAAAGTCACAACCAGTGAGAAAAACATCGAGATAGAAAAAGCAGAATCCATTTTTTTATTATTTCAGTGTAAAATCAAAGAGAACATTAAAAAACTTTGAAAATAAGTAAAAAGATAATAAAAAATAACGTGTCTATTCCGTCTCTTCTGAAACATTACGTTCTACACACTAACGCCTCTCAAAATGCAGAATGTTTTAGCTCTTCCTTTAGTTCTGTGTATCTATATAGCATTATAAGTAACACCCCCGACAGACGTGCTCTGGATAGAACCGTGCGTACGAAAAATATATAGTTAATATAAATGGGATTGCAATGTTGTTAGAGCGCTGAAATATTTCAAAGGATTGATTGCTAGCCGACAGCACTGCCAAAATCGTGTGCTCGTTCCGTGTCCCCTACCTCAAGTTTATTTTTAAAAAGTCACTGAATGATTGCTCTCTTCCAGATAATTGGAAGATAGCCTCTGTCGTACCAGTCCATAAATCTGGGCTTCGTAACAACGTCTTCAACTACCGTCCAATTTCGTTGTGTTCAGTTTTTTGAAAACATTTAGAACACAACTCATACATTGTTGAATGCGTTGTTCAATCCAAAACAACATGTCCTCCGTAAGTGGTTGTTCTGCGTCACGCAGTTAACCGTGTTCACTCACGATTTGTCTCAGGCAATGGATAATTGTAAAACTGTCGACTGTGTTTTCTTGGACTTCAGCAAACCGGTTGAGGCATGGTACCTCAAAATCTATCAATAGAAACGTTATTAAATTATAATATTGATTATCGAGTTATCCCCTGGGTTCCTGAATATTTGCACTAAAGATGCCAGTATGTTGTAGTAAATGAAAGTAAATCGAGAATCTCAAAAGTAAGATCATACCCTACCAAAAATAACGGTTTGAAATTAAATCGGAATGAATCCGGAGTTTCAGACCGTCATATGGAACCGGGAACTAAATCGGAGACGACCAATTCGGAAACTTAACCGGAGACAACCAATCCGGAGGCCTAACCGTACTTGGTCAAATCGGATGTGGCCAATACGGAGAATTTAACCAGAATGAATCACACCGGAGATTAGGCCGTACCGGGCCACTCCGGACAAAAAAGGAATTAGATTAATAAAGAGCTAATGCTCAGTTTCACCTTCTGGTGTACTGAGGCTGATGCTAAGAGCCTTTTGAGTCAGTCCAGTGCTTGAGAGCATGTCATCCGACTCTCTGGCAACACCCAGCGGCACGGAATGCGTTGAGCCATGCAACATATTCACTGCGCTTGGTTGGTAGGAATGGCTATAGCATCTGCTGCACTACATCAGAGGTAAAACAGAACATAGTCAGTGTTGGTTAGTCATCAATATCACTGCAAATAATGAGGTTCGACACCACACAGGGAATTGTGAAAAAAACGAGAAGATTCATTTATATAGTCTGAAAACACACAATCGCATAAAATCTGAGGAATGATACATTTAAAATTTCGTAAAACATTAAAAAAAATATGTTTAAGGCTCAAAACTCAAACATTTCACACCAGGGTTCGTACAGGCTTTAAAGAAAAAAATTCAAGGGTTTTTAAGAACTTCTAAGGACCTGTAAATATACATTGAAATACTCATCTAGTAAATTTGTAATATATCATCTTTTTAAAATGCACTGCGAAAATTCTTTATTGCACAATACCTAGGAAAAGGCGCATTTGCCGAGGAGGTGCTAGTTTGCAAAAGGACCCGCGCACCACGCACACACAAAATCCTCTACAAAAAAAATCAAGAAAATAAGGCAAAACCACAAATATATACAAGAGAGCCAACTAGGTATACAGAGGGGTTTAAAGCGATAGAGTGCTATTCCGTTCACCAAGCAAAACTGACCCCCTCTTGGCTGCCGCCATGTTGTTTGACCACTGGACACATGACCGTACGAAATACTGAGGTTTTTACGCAAAACTAAGCCGAGATTTTTATTGCGATTGCAGTAAAAACATGATAAACTATTTTTTTAAATATATTTAGCCCCAGAGATCAGTGTCTAGATTTGATAAAAAGCCAAAATACAGCACCACGGCTGACGGCACCTGGCGGAGGCATTGCGAAGCTGCCCAAGTTTTTGTCGTAAAAGCATGTTTTCGATTTAAAACAAACGAAACAACTTATCCCGTCAGTACCATTAACACATTCAAGACTGAAAAATAATGAATAAATCATAAAAAAATATAGCTTTGTAAATAAAAATACATATTGCACAAGGTTCTTGTAAGTATAATGCCAAAACACAATAAAAATTTAAAAAAAAAATATTGCAGCAAAAAAAAAAAAAAAAAGGACGAAAAGCGGAAGCGACTGGCGTTTAGGGTGGGGGAACTGCTAACGGAGATTCGTGGTCGTTCTTTGTGTTCTTCTTCGCCCTCTCCTCTTCCCTGTTCTTATCGACCAAATAGTCACCTAAGAGCTTTTTCACCACGTCCCTGACGGACGGCTCTTTGCCTTTCTTGGGACCTGGCTTGTTGCTGCCGTCCTCCTTGTCTTTCTTGCCGTCCTCCTTGTCTTTCTTGATTTTGGCCTGCTTTTCTGCATAGCAGCCAAACGCAGCTGCAAAACCAGAGAATTGCAGCGTGTTTAGTTTTTATTGTCTGGAGTTCAGACAATAAGAAAATTAAAGTGTGTTTTAAATGGAGCGCCAATCGGTGGCAAAAGCGTAAGCTTGGTGACATCCTGTCAACGGCATTGGCAACCAGACTGGCTGGAAAAGTGCACGTGACATTAATGTGCATGCCTTTTGCCAAGTGGTTTTTGCTTCCACCTTCACCTGAAGCACCCGCTAATCCACATGCCATTCACATCTTCATAAAGAGATGTTCCAACAATTACGAACGCTGCTGGTTCTGGCTGCACCATCAACAACTGTGCCATCACCAAAGAGAAAAGGTAGCTGCAATCATGAGTTCATTTCACATATTATATTCCGAGTAACACAAATTGGTTAAAAAATATATTTTACTGTGTTACTGAAGTCTCATATTCGCGACTCCAGCAAAATGGACGCCACCAAGCAGGAAAACCGGGGACCAGCCGGACCAGGTCGCTCCGTGCCCCTCCGCGTCTCTGGTGGCTTTCTCAGACGCGTGTTGTCGGCACTGTGGCGAACGATGTAATTTGACGAAGGCCCGAAAATTTCTTGAGTTTGCCTGAGTGTTCATTAGTGTGGTGAAGCCTCAGTAGATTGTTTCCTTCCATCACGTGGTTGAAAGTCCGTTTACTCCACAACACACGGTCGTGTGCTTTCGATTTCTTGGTTGGGGAGGAATCACGGAAAAAACGTTTTGATTTCTTGTCTGTCTCTAATCAAATTCAAAGTGACGACTACTTGGTAACTGATGTGGTTTCTTTATAAGGATGTAGAACAGTGAACTGAGGACGACAGACGAGGCATTTCACTGGAGGGAACACCAATGTGGCAGTCAAGTGAATGGGAAGGTTTGATAGCTGCTTTTCTGGAGTTTGGTTGTGTTCGATTAGCTTCAAGTTTGAGCCACCCACGCCGGTCGGTGTGTTGGCTATTCATCTTGGCTGCTTTTCGCCAAAAAAGCCTCTGTACCACTCTGAAGGAGTTGGGCTGACTTTCGCACTTGATTCAGGAAAACCTGCTCGCTGCAAATGATGAATGAGGGAAATTATCTGTTTTCAAAAGGTGGGGGACGCGTCTCGCAACGTTAGAAGCTGTCACGGCATTTTGATCTATCACGCCTCCAATATTGAAATTATACCCCCATCAAAGCCAGCAGCAATATACGTCTACGTTGATCAGGTTGACCGGCGACAAAAAATGCTCATTTTCATAGTTCAGGATTCGAAGCAAAGTTCAAAGCAGAGAGGTTCTGCGTGAATCTCCAATGAAGACTCTCTTCAGTTTGTCTCCGTGCTGCCGGCTAGAACCATTTGGCTAAGTTTAAGTAGTATCTCTCTGTCTGTCAAATATACTTTTATTCAGCAGTTCACCTAATAGCTAGTCAACTAAGCCCATATTTCAACCCGAAGAATATACTAAGATCGCTTTAGTGGGACATAATACGTAATATAATACATAACCCGCTCGACAAAATGACTTCTCGATTGCTACTAAAACCTGAATATGAAATACGAGTATCAGCTGCTTAGTGGGGTGCCGGCGGGTTAACATGCTCCTTGGCTCGAGAAGCGCTTGCTTAATTTTCGTAACTTTCCTGCAGCCTGTGTTGTTGACCGGGCAGACGACTGGAGCTGTTTCCTAAATGTGGATACGCACAAAAGCTTGACTTCGCCGACAGATAAGTCGCATGGTCGAGGCATGCGAGTTAGCTGAAAATTGCTCTTGGTGGAACAATACTGTAGTAATCGCCGCTTTCCTTCGACGGCCAAAACTGATTAGTATAATACCGTCTCTCCGGAGCCCATAGTTTCGGTTTTGAACGAAATCTCTGAAACAAAAGTTTAACAAGGAAAGAAGAAAAAAAAAAAAAACGGGAAAACAACACTATGCTTTGCAAGTTTATGTGCACCGGCTACACTTAACCGTCTCAGTTCAAATACCTATAAAATTGGGCATTAAACAAAACAAAATCTGTTAAATTGAACGCGCCACCTGTTCAGGCGGCCCGGCCGAGCCGACACGACCTGGACTCAGCCACCATGTTTGTTTGGTGGTGGCGCCCCCTATAGGTCGCTGGAGTCGCGAATACTAGCTTGGGCGTAGGTTATGCACATACAAACCTAGTTGGAAACCTGTGGCAGGGTCCCTTAAATGAATAATCCACTCACCAATGACGGCATCAATCTTTTCTGGGGTGAGGGGCGTCTTCCCCACTGCCCCATTTTTGAGAAGGCGCCTGCAGGCTTGTCCGGTGACGCTCCGGTCAAACAGCGCTGCAGGCTCCCAGAGGCCTCGACTGACCATTCTCACGAACCGTCCAGGAGTGGACGCATGGGTGAGAGCGTGGGTCATCGTGGCCTCCGCCAGAGTTATGCCGTGGCCGAGATGAACCTGCAGCATGACAGGCAGTTTCAATATACAAGAAGAGGGCTCTCTCTATTCCCCTGTAGAGCTGCTGTAATTTTGACCTGTATGACTTAAGTTTAAAAAAATCGGTACCCCATTGCTGATATCAAAATAAGCAGTAAAAAAGGGAATATGCAAACAAAAGATGGGTTTTTATTGCTCTACAGTACTCGTAGCATAATGCTATTCATCAGATGACAAAACCTTCTGTAATCACCGTTTGTTAAAACTAATTATTTTAAAGTGGAAAAGAAAGACCACGTATGCCACACACTAGTATATTACTATAGTAATACAGTAGAACCTCAGTTTATTGAAAATCCAGGATAACTAGTAGAATTTCTATGGTCCCATATAGTATCAAATGTAAATATGACCAAATAATATGTATGGCCAGAGCGCACCTACCCAGTTAGTTTCTGGACTTTCGTCGGCCCGGCTCATTTTTTACATGCTAAGTGGCACAAATCAGCACCCAAATGCAATAACATGGCGAGTTTTCGTCATTCCGTTGCCTGCTTGCATGCGAATCCATGCATAAGAGTTATTTGTGTGCTTTTCTGCTTTTTCCATTGTGATCTGGGAGTCAGTGATGTCAATCTCATGTGCGATTGTAGTGCGGCGGGAACCAGCTGAAGCACAAAACCCTAACGCCGCGCCAGAAAGTGGGCCTCATCGAGAAAGCAGACAAGTTTGCATTTTCGAGAACGAAGCTTGCCGAGAAACATAAGCTGCCTCTCGACAAGGACGACAATTCTCTAGGCCTGCAACAAGACACTCACCAAAGCGTTCACTAATTTGTCTTCCTACCTATGCCGAGGTGGAAGGCGCTTTGATCACCTGGCAGACATGCTATGCAAACACTGAAAGTGATATTGCTGGGAGTGTGGCTGTTGAAACCCAAAATGGCAGCGACTACGAGTTACCCGTGCCTTTGCTCTCGGAGAAGTCGTGCAATTGCTAGGGGTTGTCTGCAGTTTTTTAGAGTATGTATATACGGTGGCTGTACGGAAACATTTGCCCAATCGTCATTTTTGAGAGCACGATAAGTATCACCAACCACAGGAAGCGTTAAGCAGATTGACAATTACTTCATGTAACTGCATCATGTTTTGCAATAAAAAGTTTTTTAAGGTTTACCCGCACATGATTTTGGTTCTTTTATTTTTTTTATTTTTTCGTATAATTTTAAATCCCGCTTAATTGGAATATCTTTCTCAGTCCAACAGACTTCGAATTAACGAGATACTACTGTATGTCCAGATACCATCAGCTATGCAAAACTTGTAAATGCATCGTATGTCAAAAAACAACTGCAACCAAAAAAAAAAGAACTTTTGTAACAGTGCGTATACCACACGCATGTTGCAAACATGCATTTTCCCTGAAGAAACGATTTAGCTCACTATTTATGCTGCACAATGGAATTTACATTAGCAGTCTACCTCTCCACTCCTCTCTGTCGCACTTGTTTGCACCATGTTGGTATGATTACAGTAAAATGAAAGAGGATACATGAAGGAAAACACAGATTGCTGCAAAATTACTCACACCCTGAATATTGTTTTCATTTTTCTCCATGCAAAATAGATTTTTGACACAACTTTTCTATCCGGGGGGTACAGCATCCCTCTTACTACTTGCATTTTTTATAAGATTTATCCTCTATTCTTTTGGCTTTATTCTTTTAACCAGGCAACAGTTTGCCACTGTATCACCAGTAATGTTAGCACTGGTAATGAATTTGATTAGCCCCAAAGTACCAGATTTAGCAGGACGCATGGTTATTAATTTTGTGGACTGGTTAGTCACGAGTTCACAACCCTAACAGTACAGATTTTCAGGTAGTAGAGCTTTTGGCATTTGTCTGTGGTGTGACCGAGTAGAAGACACAATATTTTGTTACATGGAGCTGGCTGCAAGCACCCTCCGTTATGCCTATATAAGTGGTGCACCGTGCTCTCAAAAGCCCTCGATCCAACTTACCTAGTGCCGGCACTAAAAAATGCAAACTTATTTAATTAAGCTTTTCCACACCACATATTGAACTGTTTGCCACCTGAAAAAATAATAAATGCACTTCCACATCTACAGCAAATACCCATTCTGATTGGTTCATTAGACAATGTAGACATACCATACTATACTAAAAGATAGCCACCTCAATTTAAGAACAAACTAAGTGAAAATAATGGGAAAGCTAACTTTTAGAGCTTGATAAAAAAATATAAAAATCTTGTTGCAACAAAGCCAAGAACACATACACTTTTAACAAACTTTAAAGCCTGCGGATTTGCAGTTGAGTTGGCAAGATGAACTACCTACTAGTGAATTACATTATGCTATTTTAGATGCAGTGGGCCGTCAAGCCTGTTATGGCTGCAAGGGTTAACTGAATGAAGGATAACTGTCGTTTCCAGCCCTCATGGCTTGCTCACCTCCCCTTGTGGCTTGCCCCGTTTCTGCGGAGGTGACCATTGGACTACCTTTAGGTGGTGGGGCATCTCTTAGGATACTAAGATGCATACGTAAAAAGCTTGCCTAGGTATTAGCTTTGTTAATATAATCAATAACACTTTTGTTCCGAAAACTGTCCTTTCAATGAAAACATTTAACAAAATCTTTTGTAGGCTCTCATGCATACTTGACCATCCAGGACAGCAAGAAGCGAAGGAGAAGGAACATCCCCAGACTCCCCACAGCCAGCAGCCCCGGCATCACCTAGAAGTGCAAATTGAAAATTCTCAACATCAGCAACTTTAGAAACCTAGCTGGCTTTATGAAATTAAGGAGTTATATACAGAAATGAAGGACAGTCTACCCCGACTGTAACTTTACCTGCCACTCCAAAAATGTAAGAGTGCAGTTAATTTAACTTGAATTGCAAGCCTCTGCAGTCAGTTTCTGGGAGCAAAATCTAACTTTTGTGCTTGAAGCGACACAAACGTCTGTGCCATTAGGCAGGGACGCTAGGTACTTCCATGCCTCCATGGAGCTGGTCTCGTGAAATAAAATACCTGCGGCTAAGTTGGCCGCAATTGGAGCAGCAGCTGCGAGATGAGCAAACCGGCCCTGGGTGGCGATGAGAATCGAAGAGCAGACCTAGTGACCCAAACGCCGATGCGTTACTTTAGGCCTCCGAGGGGGAGCGGAACCAGCTGGGCTAAGGATGACTAGGGCGCCTCTATGTTCTCCTTGCATTATTCTTTGTAGTACCTGATCAACAGCACATACTCTTGGAGAGAACACAAAGGGATAGCACAACACAAATGCTGCTACATGTAGTGCAGGCAAAATATGAGCTCAAACCTGAGACACTCACGTGCTCCAGAGCAAACAGAAAGAAGCATTGCAAAAAGTCAAATTCACAAACTTGTGTTGCATCCAACCGAGTGCGACTGCAACCACTTGCAACGCTTAAAACAAGATGGCGGCGTCTGTGAGATGGCACCAACGGCAGTGTTGGGAACGCACTTACTGTATCAAAATGCATTCAGACATAACCACAGATGCCATTCACTGCATTAAACAGTAAATGTGTTGGTAACACTACAGTGCTTGGAACGGGTCTTCGACAGGTGTGTTAAGGCGTCCTCATTTTGGTCCCTCGATTTACACCTTGTGATGTCACAAAAATGTCATGTTGTTGCTGGTCGTGATCTTGGCGGCGGTCCAACAGCAAAGGTACAGTTGGCAGACGACTGTTCTACCTTGTCTGACTCTGCTGCTCAACAGTTGATGGAAACTCAAGTGAACATGAGACGGGACATTCCGATAACAGCAACTATTTATGTCCGCTCATCTTGTTAGCCGGCGCCCCTAATGAGTCGACAACCAACCGCAAGGATTGCGACACCCGATAGCATGACACTTTTAGCTTTTGTGGAAAATTTTATTGCCACTTCCGGACCATTTTGAACGCAATATGGGGGGGGGGGGATACGGGACAGTAAACACACCAATCGAAAACGCGTTCCAGGCACCATAGTAACACTGCCATTGGCTGAACTGCGCAGACGCCGCCATTTTGTCTTAAGTGCCGCAAGCGGTTGCAGTCGCACTCGATCAGACTCAACGTAAGTGTGTCAACCAGCCTTAAGAAACTGCTTTGATGTCAGTACTCTGGAACAGATGCATACACATAGCAGGTGACTGATAGCACGCACAGTTGCCCTGAGAATGATTAATTGCAGCTCGGCACATGATCCCACAACTGCTCATACACTAGACTTCTGAACGAATTTAAACTTGTCTTGATCATTCTGATAATATGAGGAGAACATGAATGTGTTGTGCATGGAATGCCTGCACGAGTTTCTATCTGAAACATCTCACAGCTCCTCGTAACTGAGCATACCCAATCATACATAATGCAGGCGTAACGCACACACCAGACATTCTATGCTTCCCGAGTTTATCGAATGATCAAGGGAAGTTTGACTATTTTTTGTTTTTCTAAACCTCGACAACTGCACCGAACGAGAGATACTCGAGCTGTCTGTCCCTGATAATTAGGCAATGCCTAGGTTCATCAGGTCTCGTTACTGTTTTTGATAGAAAAAAGGGAGCCATTAAAATACTTCAGTCCTGTTAATAGGCTCATAACAGACCTACATCTCTTTCCAATAGCAAAACAAAACTTGGAGACAGAGAATCCCTCAGCTCCATTAGAAAGAAATAATAATTGTGCAATTGCAGTGGTCATACTGGCCTTGTATAGTGACATGGATGTTGTTGCTACACTCTATGTATGTTAGTACTACGAAATACATTCCTCTTTGGTGTTTATACGAAGTTGACCCACACATTATTTATGAATGAACTGTAGTTTTTCATGTTCAGCTAATTTACATTGTCAGCAAACTTACTGTGTGGTTCAGCGGGAGGAACCTCCTCAGACTCTGTAGCCTCCACAGGGAGCGGGGATAGGTTCCCTGCAGGTTGCAGATGGGAACACTCCTCGGAGTCTGTCAATTCTTGCGTGCTGCCCGATGCCCCAGTTGTGCGGTACAGCATTGTAGACACACCTGAAAACAAAAATTCCAAGGTCAAATTTGACTGATCAAAAAGCGATCAAGCGTGTAAACCCCAAAGGGAATACCTGAAAAGGGGCATAAAAATATTCTGCAAAAAAACACAAACTTATTTATTGTAATTGAGCATGACAACCAATTCAAAACGTAGCATAGCAAGTGGCACACAAAGTATGGATATAGCTCATTGTACAATGCAAAGTATCTCAACCTGGTCGACACACAGTAAAAAGGGATAATCCAGGTGTGTGGATCCTCTACAAACGAAACAAAACAACAAGGAAAGGTGGAAAGCGGCTATAATTATCACTTTACACAACAGTGAAAAGGCAGGAAGAAGAGGGGTTTGCACCAGAGTGACGGTGGCCACCCGTTGGGCACATCATAATATTGGTTTTAGTAGGGAATTCAGCGTCACCTTGATGCAATACAGTAAATTCTCACTTGAGCGAACTCAAGGGACCCAAGGAAATAGTTCACTTATCTGAAAGTTCACTAAAGGCGGCTGGCATCGAGGCTACTTGAAGGATTATACGGCGTGCAAGTTCGTCTGCTTCCTGTGCACGTCGTGCTTAACTGAATATCTTCACTAGAACATAGAACAGCATAGGGCACAGCATATATTGAGTCAAAAGTGTGAAATGTAATTTATGAAGTCATGTACATTGATATATACAAAGTGCATAACAGTTATGATGCTGCCTTTCTCATTTAAAAAAAAAATCTAATTTTCATTTGCACTGGCGCTCTTAATGCGCATGAAGTAACTAGACTGTCCAGAGAGTCTCTGTTTTTTTGCACTTCCTCGAGAATAAAAATAAAGTTTATTCTCTCTCTCTCTGGCACAGCTTGTTGCTGCGACAAAGCCATACCACAACAATATCATCCACTGACTGGAAATATCCCGTGCAGAGTCATTTGCTATTGCCATTGAGGTGCAGTTTCTCCTTCAAGCTTTGACTTTTGCTTCACTATCGTTCACAACGTTGACGGTGGAATCTCATAGTCCTTCGCAACGTCCACTTGCCTTTCATCATTGTCCAGACACTGAGGAATTTAGAGCTTGTGTGATAAAGACAACCACTTCCGTCTCGTGCTCGTTACGAAAGTGGGTGCACAAACTGCCGTCCTACTGTTGTTACCCACAACAAAGATGGCCAAATGCAACCGACGAAAAGAAAAAACAGACGCACCACATGGTTAATTTTCGTCTACCGCACCGCCGCTTTGCTTCGGCAGTACTGTGAAAGCCAGCGATAATAGGCGGGCATCGGCTACGCCAGCACTGCAGACCACAAAACTTCAGTGAACTGATTGCAAAAATAATCCTGGGACCATCGATCAAGTTTGTTGAACTGAAATATTTGCTATTCAGAATGTGTTTTTCGTTAAACTGAAACATTTTTGCATAGAATGCATAGGAGAAGCACCGGTGATTTTTTTAAGGTTCAATGTCCTGAAATATTTGTTAAGTTGACGCTCGCTCAAGTGAGTTTACTGCATTTAGGCTGCTGTCTTATTTCGTGCCACTAAAGTGATATCGGCCATTTGTTTTCGTTTAACTTCTGATCGGAGTTTCCCTTTGGCTTCATACTTTCAGCAAGTTACATACTGTAAAGTAATGAATATTGCGAGTCTGATATGAACCAAGAAAGCATGTCTACTTTACCTCAGAGCACATGAACAGCCAGTCACTGCCATGTACAGAAATGGCCCATTGATTGACAATACACTGATAACAGATATACTTGAAAAAATCATCTGTGTCAAGACGCTCAACGCTGTCAACACCTTGTCATTCGCTGCCCTTCCTGCGAACAGCAGTGACGCTATTCACATGATCTGCAGTAAAGTAGACATGCATTCTTTTTAGTATCTTGCAGTACTTTGCGCAAATGAAAAAGTATTTCTGTCCTCATTTCTTCACAAAATTTAAAGAATTTGTAAAAACTAAATTTTTAAAAGTGAAAAAAAAAGTGTCTGCAAACCAGGTTAAATACATGACGCTGACATATGTAGCACATAAGGAACATCTCATTTTTGTAGGCACATTTGAAACCTTGGATTTTTTTTTTCCATGTAACTCCTAAAGAAAAGCTAACTTCTGAAACAATATCTACATCCACAATATAACAGCAAGAAGAAACTTGGGAATTAATTAATGGAAACTGAAATTCAGCTATCCTGCCCTTACATCCGGCCTCTGTCATCACACGATCAGGCACCAAAGTAGGGACAGCAACGGGCACAAGGACAGGAGCAGCGACGGGGACAGGGACAGGAGCAGCGACGGGGACAGGGACAGGAGCAGCGACGGGGACAGAGACAGGGACGGGGACGGGGACAGGGATGGGTGCAGCAGGCACTGACGTTCTTCCCTGCAGCTGGTGAGTGGCCTGGTGACTGGCCTCTCTGGTGATCTCTGGAGAAGGCACAGTGACCATGTGTCCATCGATAGTCACCAGGCAAGCAAAAAATTAGGCCCACTGCAATGGACCTTTTCCGAGAAGCGTTCTGCGCACGCGCGAGCACCCGATGCTAAGCGGCGGAAGTCAGAACGAAAAATCGAGGAAATTCGGAAGGAGGCCGTATATCAGCGAGCACAACACGTAACTGAAGAATATATATAATTGTGTTACATGAAAAGAGAATGTCGACGGAAAGGAAAACACGACGTTTAGGTGGATGCCACAGATGCCCCTCTTTGAAGTCGCGTAGGGCACGCGCCGCTGCTCGGAGAGCGAAGAAACTGGTAGCCTAGCTCCCTATATCGATTGGTAGCGCAGGTAGGTCACTTCCTTGATTTTTAGTTTGTGCAGCCACCGCCTGGTGCCGTCGGTATGTGGAAAAGGTCCATTGTTAGCCATAAGGGTGCATAATCCTAAAGCACAATTGCGAAACATTCAAGTAAACATGACGGGTAGCTTACCGATCTTGTCGAGGACGACACGCATGAGTCGAAAGTTGGAATCCTCTACTTCCTTTAGTTTCTTTTGAAGCTCCTCAATTTTTCCAAGAGCTGCGTCATGTTCGGCTTTCGACACAACGCCTTCGGCACATGTGGCACAAGCCTTTTCCTACGCCTTGCGGAGCCTCTTCCGCAGAGATCGCAGAGCTTCTTCAGCCCTATCTAGCTCCGACTTCGGCACAACTGCAGGGTCCTCGTCGTCGGTTGAGTCTCCTGCTAAAGGCCTCTTCTTACTTAGAATGCTCGCCATCTGTTTCCTCTTGGCAAGAGCCTTGCGTTGTTTCAAGTTCTTGTTGGACGCAGAACCTGATGTTGATGCCTAAAATATACAAAATACAATACAATATTGTGGAAGTGCCCGGGTCCGCTCAAAGTGGAACCGTTTTGTAATTGCCATTTTCCACTGCCCTCTTTTGTGGAACTTCGATCTTAAACAATTTATTTTCCACCTCATAGGTCTATCTACTACAAACTAGCTTTCCTTTATTTTTTTCGCTGGCTCGACAAAATACTTCTAGACATCCCCAAGACTCCTTTTCAGGTTTTTAGCATTACAAATCGCGAATAATGACTGAAGTAAGGTATCAAATGTCATAAACACAATAACCAACTCGAAACAAAAGTCTGTGTCTGCAACAGACCCACTTACTTGCACTGGTTCCTCAAAAATCTGGGGAATAACCAGTCGCTTCTTGTGGGCCATCTCCTCGAGAAGTGCCCTCTTCGATTCTGGTGAATAAAAGATAAAAACATGTTAACAGAGCCACAGAACAGAGAGGTCAGTCTGACATGACAGGGTCAGGCATACTGATGGCATATCAGCCACTAGTGTTAATTTAATGCTATAGTAATTTTACACCACCAAGCTTGAACTGCACAGTTTGCAAGAAGTAAAACAACCGCCAACACTGCAGAATGATGTCACGTGCAAGCCACATATAAATCCATGGATTCAATGACAGCATTTCAATTATAAGAGAAAAATAAGAAAAGTTAGCGGTCATGTGATTGTGCTGTGTTATGCCCTGTACTCTGCTGATAATCTCTGCCCAAAACATTACAATTATTTTAGTAAGTCACTGGAAGCTGCATTTACGTCACACATATTCTTCCTCTTAACAAATGCTTCAATTATTTGTAGGTGCTCAGACTACCAATCCTTGTGGCAGTTGCATCTTTTTTAATTTCAGTGAAAAAATTTAGAGTGTGCACTACCAGTGTAGATGCACTCACATTCGGTTTAAAGGGAAACCGAAGTGGTTCTGTATTTTTGAAAAAACACATGGATCATCTTCTTTGGCCTCTAGGACCATGAATATCGAAATTATTTTTCAATCTGATGTAGGAAGCCGTCGCACAGCATTTTGAAAATAGCACCGAAGTCCCGCCCTCTTTGAGCATGACATCACACCCAGAGTTCTTGGAACCTCCGCTCTCTCGTGCCTTATTGAGCACCCATCATAGTCATGCTCGCACTCTTGATATTTTCAGAAAGGTCAGCAAAAAAACATCACAAATGGTGTCACGTGTGGGGGAATATACCTGGTAAGCTTGCAATTGCACAGATCTGGCGAGAAATTTTTCGAGTTTTCTTGTGTTCAGTTACATCTTCAGGGAAAACGAATGTGATATTTGGATTCACGGGATAAAAATGTGCTACAATCTGGCTCTAACTCTCCTCAATGGCCAGCGACTCGAGGATCTCCCTTCCAAGCTGTTTCCGGTGTTGTGCGACGACAGTGATGTTTGTGAAGTCAGGAGCACATTTGCATTCCCGATAATGCGCCGAAAGGTGGCCCGCCGACGTTAGTGTGGCCACAGAGGCTGCATGTTCTCTGGTGCGGTCGTTTATGCACCTCCCTGTTTGCCCTATGTAGCTTTTGCCACATGACATGGGGATATGTGATATGTGAGAAGCTTTGTAAGCAAGTGCGACATAATCCGGAGAAAAATGAACCAACGAAAAAGAAACCACCAAAGCCTTTCGTAGTGGTACCATATATACACGGGATCACTCATCGTCTAAAAAAGATCGCTGGCCGACAAGGCATCCACGTTGTGTGCTCAGCCCCCAACAAGGCGTACGCCACGTGCCGTAGGGTGAACCGGGAGACCGACCAGAACGTGACGACGACCTGCGGCACTGCGCATTGAACACCCTATGCCCCATGTGAAAAAGGAGTCGTATACAATACCCCTATGTCATGTGGCAAAAGCTACATAGGTCAAACAGGGAGGTGCATAAACAACCGCACCAGAGAACATGCAGCCTCTGTGGCCACACTAACGTCGGCAGGCCACTTTTCGACACATTGTCGGGAATGCAAATGTGGTCCTCACTTCACAAACATCACTTGTCGCACGACACCGGAAACAGCTTGGAAGGGAGATTACTCGAGTCACTGGCCATTGAGGAAAGGGGGGAAGAATGCGTAAGTGTCGCCTCCATTGCGCTCTTGCCTAAAAAAAAAATATATCCGCAGGGAGTGGCCCCTCGGAGCAACCAAGTCGGGACTATTTGAATGCCAAGATCCGACAGAGGAAAAAGAAGTTGACACTACCGAAAGTGTAGAAAAAAAGAAAGTTTTGTAAGATCCGACAGCTGAAGAAGAGGTAAACTCTACGGTTAGTGTCGAGAAAAAGGAAGTTTCAGTCTAAGATCTCACAGATGAAGAAGAAGACACCTTTTAGGATAGTGTTGAGGAAAAGAAAGTTTTATTAAAAGGTTGACAGTCCAGTAGTGTGGTTCTTTGTTTTTTTTCTCTCCATCGCTTTTCCTAAACGTTCAACTGGTATTCAAGTAAGCATAAAAAAGATATGCCGCAAATATTGCCAAACGCCTCGACAAAACAAAATGTTCGAGAAAAAAAAGAAAGTGGGCCCACACCGCGGATCGAACCCGCGCCCACTTGCGTATGAAGCAGAAACCTTGCCACTATGCTTTGCCACCGCTTATTAGAAAACTTTTAACTATTCGTTTTATACGAGTTTCGCGTAGTGCGTACACCCTTTTCCGGTCGAGGTGCAGGACGGAGTCCGAATAACTTTACTCATTAAAAGTAGTTACGTCGGAAGTAACGCTGGATATTGCGTTTATCACAATCGTATGTTAAGGAAGTACGATTTCCCAGTATTGCAATCGAGTTCTGAGCTACACAAACCGCACACACTTCCTTTGAGAAAACAGATCAGCGCAGGGCAAACACAGAGGAACAGCAAAGGCCAGGTACTTACTTGCAAGGAGGACCACTTTCGCCTCGTAGTAGCCTTCTTCAAGGCCGGCCTCGGAGCGCCAATACGCTTGCACCGGTTCACTAGGGATGTCAGTCTCCGTTTTTGGATTATAATCCTTGATCAGGCACACAGGCATGATCGCCTTCTCTTTGTCGGCGGGGTAATGTACGTACGCGTAGAACATCGCGAAAACAGAAGAAACATACGAAAAGAAAGTCAAAAGAATAAAGCAACGCTTGCTGGGCTACCAGAAAAAAAAACGCACAACGCACAAAACGAAGTGCACAAGATAGAACGCAGTAACACAAAAAGGTGAAAACAACGATACCCAAATCAAAGCAGAGGTCCTGTTAGGACTAGGAGGCACAGGCAAGAGCAGAGCCAGAAAGGAAAGCCGTTCGGGTAACTCCGAAAAATAAAGGTGGATTGGATTGGATTGGACGGGATTGTAATGAGCCTGGAATATCTCTCTTGAAAACAGAAGTGAAACTGCTGTAACATGATGGTATGTTATTGGTGTTTATTCGTTGGAAGAAAATCCTAAATATCATCAAGGCTCATATTAATTATTAAAAATAGTAGAACTTATTAAATATTATTTTTATGACCTCTGAAACACCATACAGCCGTCGATTTAACGAAAACTTGAACTCGCGAAGTCGTCGGAAGTAAACCCCTCACGACTGCGAGCAACTCCCGAATTCTCGGCGCGAAAAGCTCACAGACACACACACACGCACGCACGCACAATTCCTTAATTGCAGGGAAGCGAATTTGCGCGGTGCTTCGGGGGCGCTAAAAATTAGATTAAAATGTAACCAAACAGCGTAGCTTCGACGCTGGCCATCGCCCTGGCTTATTATAGATTCGGTCTTCGGCTCTGACTGCGTCTGCTAGTTTGTCCCACCGCGGTGGTCACTGGTCCGCTCGGCTCAGTGGCTCGGCTTGTTCCGTTTCTCGGTTTGCATTGTTTACCTTGAGGTTGTTCGTTGTTCCGCACAGTGCTCTCAGTTTCGACGCTCGGCAACTCGTACTTGTTCTTCGTCTTGGAAGTGTGGTCGGGTTTGTGTTTCTCCCATTGGCTCTTCTATTAATTGCTCCGTATTTACGTGGACCATTTTTAGGCGGAGTATTTGTGCGTGACTTTCGCTTTCGTCGTCTGCGTTACTTTTGATCGTTCGAAACTCGAACTGGTTATTTTTTATTATTTTTTTTTTAAATTTTATTTTGTGCGTCAGTCGCGTCATTTGCGTCATTCTGCTTCTCGCTCCCCTCTGTTCCTCAGCAATTCTACATTTTTCTTTCCTGTTGCCTGTTCTCGTGCGCGTGTTCACAAGCCTGGTTTGATGGCTGCGTTTGCTCCGTGACTTGTTATCATGGCTAGTAGTGAAGCAACTCGGCGTCGACGATTTGTTTACTTAGAGAAGGGCGCGTCTTTCAAGATACCAAAGTCCACTCTGTCTCGGTGTAAGAAGGCTGTGCCAAGCGGGAACCAATCAGCAACAGCCGGTTCTCCCGTCTATGATGTCCCCAGCGATGGTGACGAGCTCGAGAGTGACTGTGATTCCTGCAGCAGTGACCCTCAGTCGAGAATCACTGCGGAAGACGCTGACTCTTCAGAGAGTAACGGAGAGGAGACTATGACTCACCAGTCACATGCAGATTCTTCAACCTTTTGGGAACAAACCGAGCAACCACCACATATGAGTGAAGAACATGCACTGGCAGCAGGCTTACGAGCTTTTGGAACCCAAACTCTGCCCCATTCGACAACTACCAATGCAGCAGCTGTTGCGATGATTATGGCGTTTGTGGCTGGTGAAGCCTTAAGCTGGCAGGGCCTTGACAACCTTCTTTTGATGGTCAATGCATTCTTTGCTCCAGAGCAGTCTGTGCTCCCACAAAGCAAGCACCTGTTCCGAAAGCTGTTTGCACCGAGGCGGAGTCCGCAGCTGTACGACATTTCTACTGCCGGTCATGCAATGATCTCTTGGAGGTTTCCGCTGAAGATGGCGTCTTTCCCACCTGCGGGACGTCTAGCAACCTCAAAGATGCAAAGAAAGATGGGGCTTTCTTCGTTGTTCTAGACATCGGCAAGCAGCTGAATCATGTCATTCAGAACAACAAAGCAGCCCTTCACGAAAAGCTGAACCAGATTGCCAGTGACCGGGGTGCTACCACCAGTGTCATCGGTGACATCACTCAAGCCAAAGCGTACAAGAATCTGCAGTCATCGGGGACCCTGGGGGACAGTGACCTCACGTTGACAGTGAACACTGATGGAAGCCCCGTATTTACATCTTCCGGTGCATCCGTCTGGCCCATTCAGTTCACTGTCAACGAGTTGCCAGTGCCTCAACGATTCCAGGTTTCAGTGCTTGCTGGACTTTGGTTTGGGAAGGGACACCCCAACATGACTTTGTTTTTTGGAAAGTTTGTAGAGGGTGTCAAGAGCATGCAACCCGTCCCCTGGCAGCATGAAGGCACACAGCACTCGTCTAGAGCGTACATCTTGTGCTGCTGCGTGGATGCCCCCGCACGCGCATCTGTGCAGAATATGGTACTGTTCAACGGGTACTACGGGTGCCCATGGTGCCTAATCAAGGGAGATTACGTTGATGGTACGTATCTATCTGACCTTTGGATGTAAACGTTCTACCACTGCAAGTTTTGTATAGTCATTTCAACCTCATTTTCAGGGAGCCTCAGATTCCTCTCCTTTGAGGATGCACGTGGGAGGACGTCAGCAGGTGTCCTACGGGACATGAAGGTGGCCCTGGAGTCCTCCTTGGTCATCAACGGCTACAAGGGTCCGTCTCCAGCCGTGAGCCTTCCAGACTTTGACCTGGTGTGGGGGTTCACGGTGGAGTACATGCATGCTGTACTCCTGGGCGTCATTCGCCAGATCACGGAGATGCTGCTGTCGTCTGTAAACTCCAACGAGCGGTTCTACATAGGTAAGATGGCAGGAATACTCTTAACTTTTAGTAAAGGTTTTCATGGGAAAATTGTTGATCATTTCACTATCAACCGGGTTCTATAAATTCACAAGAGGATGTTGCAAACGATGGCTATACTAGCCATCATTTGCAACATCAATCACTATATGCATTTATAAAACTGGGGATAGTGAGATTATTGACAATTGACATAACATTCACTATCACATTTTTTGCAAATGTGCCTGTAAAATACTTCGATTTTATGTATATTATAATCCTACATTTTAAAATGTTTGTAAAACATTTATGAAAGATGCAACAGTTTATTTATTGACTATTGCAAATGTTAAGGCTTTTGTTCTTGTATTTAGCTCTATATTTGCTCAGTTACCAGACATTGTGCTCAATGTTCTGCACCAGCCCAAAGGGGGAAAAATGAATCTTGAGTTGCTAATAGGCAAACTATGCAACCTGCATATAAATATGAAGTCACCAATGTTTGATGTGGTAGGTGGGCCTAGGGCTTCAACGTTTTCTTGGAGCCAGCCTTCTGTGCCAAGGATACATACAACATAGCAAACAAACATTAATTTGTTTATGCCCGCGTAGCCATCAGCTTCAAAGGAAAGGGAAGGAAGGAACAAGACAAGCGGCTCTGATAGAGCATTTAGTTCATTGGTGAATCGCAACATAAGGAGAGTGTCAGGCAGTTTTTTAGTTACTGAGCTTTGAACTATATAACAAAAAAAAAGCAAAAAACAATTGTACTGTTACAGATCAGGCATCTTTAGTTCAGAGAGATGTAGAGGCATATGCACCGTGTGGTTGTTGAAGTTTAAAGGGAGACTTAAGTGGTTCTGTATTCAAGAAGAAAAACACTTTGTGCCCTTCAGGATCACAAATATCTAAATTATTTTTCAATCTGATGTAAGGAGCAGTCGTAACAGTGCTTTGAAAATAACGCCGAAGCTTCGCCCTTTCTGAGGCAAGTAAGAGGCGTGATATCAGATGACATTATATGCAAATGTACGGCTTGTCTGCTCATCTCTGCTTTGTTTGCTGCTATCTCCATTTAGTTTTCTGTGACTGCTCGTGGTTTTCTGCGATTGTGCGTGGTTTAATTTTGTTATTCGTTTTTGTTGTTTCGGTCTTCTGTACCATGACAGTCTCACGATTATGCCGACCCTGTGTGCGGCTGTTGGCTCCTCTAAGGCAGCATGATTAGTTATACCACAGTCCTTAGTTATACAAAGTATTGAACTAACTATTGCTTTTTGCAAAGTCGGATGTCGCAAAATCAACATGGTGAAGCAGTAAGAATGCTGGCTTGCTCAATCCAGCATTTGAGCAGAAACTGGGTGAAAGAAATCACTGCCAAGGCCCAGTGCACATGAGAGCTGAAGTTATGGTTCAATATTTGTCTCCGCTTGTGTGCTAACCCTGGCAGTGCTTTTTTTCACCATGCAGTCTCGGCTGAAATGCTGGCTCGGGCAAGCCAGCTCTGGCCGACCTCCACATCACTTTTTATAAGCTTGACGTAAATCGGAAGCCATCATGAGAGGCTAATCACGGCAATAAATTGGAGAAAGGAAATCACGCCAGCGTAAAATAGGCCAAGCAAATAAATCTGCAGCGAATCATACACGGATTTATGCATCTGGTAAGTTCTTTGTGAAAATAATAATGAATGCAACTGTGAGCAAGTGTCGCCATCTATCGTTGCATAGAACAAATATTTATACTACTGCCACCTGTTGTACATTTTGATAAATAAATAGTTGTTATACCCAACATGGCGCAGTCGGCTTAGCGAGCCTTTGTTCGTCGCAAAACAATTCGGCGAAAACTGCGAAAAAAATGTAAGGCACCTCAACAAAACCAGAACAACGAAGCGCCGAAGTAACCCGCCTCCCGAAAATCACGCAAGTCGCCATCGCAAAGTGAGCGAACGCTCCACATCGTCGCATCTTCGCCAGCCGCCGTCGAAGCGCATTTTCCCGCCAGAATCGCCGCAACCGTTACGGCGGACAGCAACGCTAATCCTTCAAGCTCCCGCTCGCAAGAAGGACTTAGTGCCCGGACATCGAAGACTCGACAAACGACCCCGCAAACACTCGCCAAGACGTCCGATGACTTCGTGAAACTGCAAGTACGTGACACCTTTTCTGCTCGTCGTCAACCACATTAAGCCTAACCGACGTATCCAACAAAAAAAAAAAAAAAAAATGAAACCGACGGACATCCAAAGTCTGACGAACATCGTCGCTCAACTCGCTCTAACAGTACAACAGCTGGCCGAAAGCCAAAGACA